TATGTACAGAACGCATTTTTAAACAAGAATTAAAAACAATAAAATAGACAAAAAGTAATAGATAAAAAATGGAACAAAATGATTCATGATTAACTCCCCCTCTCCCAAAAAAGAAGAAGAAGAGAGAGAAGCTATTGACAAACCGAAATTCGCCAGAGGTTAAAAAATACTTTGTTCTACAGCGGTTACGAATGAAATCCGTCTCACGGCCTTCCCCTTTTAGTCCACCATCCTGACCACTTATCTAACTTTGACAAAGCTCCTGAGCAAAAAATAAAGAAAAGAGTAGATGTCCCTGCAATGAAAATTTAATTTATATTCAATAAATAAGTGTCGCCTGTCTCAAGTTGTAACTGTCCTAGAAAATTACACAGCTGCATTTTATTGAATACTCTTTCACAGTCAACTGCATTGTTTCAGAATTTGTTATTTTGTTGAAGATAATTTTCGATGTATTTTATTCTGAGATACTTACGCATGATTCTGAGATACTTACGCATGATACTTATACATTACATTATTCTGAGCTTCTTACGCATGAATTAGCTAAAACTTGTAATAATTGAGGAGAATTTTATAAGGCAGAGAATTCTATTTCGTAGAATTTGTAATTTACTTAGATTCTTGTTGCTTACGGCTTTCCATGCAGGTGACGTATATGGGTACATTAGTCATACCATCGCTTGGACGGATCAATGCAGTTTGTTTTCTGTGTGACAATATGAAATCAATGCATGGTTTGAGAGAACGGAAGATGAGATAAACAATGCTGAAGATTTTATTGAAGTTGACAATTACGATCTCTTTAAATAGGAACTCATCACTCTGTGGTTCCGACACTGTACTGAAAAGCGTAAAAAAGACGTTTTTCACATTATGACACATGATAAGAACTCACTCAGTTATCGGATGTTCGTCAACTCCGCGGACATGTTTACGTCCTCCGCGTAATGCGAATTTACGCCGGTCGGAAAGCATTACCTACAACTACATCGCGAACGTATTAGTGTGCAGGGACCATCTTCAATCTTTCATAATTTAAATACTGTTTTAGAGAATAAAACTTCCCATTCTTGCATTTAAGTATCATTTATTAAACTGAGAAATAAATACCTGAGAATTTATTTCCTGTTTCGTGAAATTCTTACAATTTTTATTGGCAATATTACTTGTGATCGAACGATATCTTTCGCTTTCTTCCTTTACACCAGAGACTTCTATTTTATTTATGCCTTCTTTAGCCGCAAATGTGTACCTCTTAGGAGGTCTTGGATGGTGATAAGAAGAGGCGCTTTGTCTCTGTAGCAGCTAGTGTAGTCATGCGTCTGGTGCCATCTCTAGTACTATGAGAAATTCCAGGTAGATGGATTAGATGCCCCTAACTTTGAGAGTAGCATCAACTTCCAAGTGATGGTGTCCAATCCAGGCAACACATGAGAAAGAAACATATCCATGAATATACATGAAGGAGAATTTACATCATGAACCGTAACAGGCAGTTTGGCTATATGCAGGTAAGGAGTGAAACCGCATATCAGGTGAGTGAGTGAGTGAGTGCACCGCTATGATGGCTTCCGACCACGGACATGAACCAAACGGAATTATATACCATCACGGCGGGAAAGACTCCAGAGTAACAAGGTTGAATATTATAAACTAATAACAGTTTTTACATATTGTTAACTGCAAGGCACTAAGCGTTATTCTGGTTATCTGCTTTAAGTTCCGAACTTTTGAACACATTATAATATTATCCACGGTTGTTGTTTCTGCTTAGGCAGTGTCCTGAGATTTTCTCTATTTTATCAAGGGCTATTCTGTTTTTGAGTGTGTTAGTCGTCCACATTGCCCAGGCACAGTCCGCTGGTTTCTTCAAGTGCCAGGTTCTTGTATGTACACAATGGAAGTAATAATGGTCCGTGTCGCCTTCCTCTCCGCATTCGCAGAAAGGAGTATCCCTAAGTCTGAATCTGTTCAGGTATACTGGGAATGGTCCATGACCTGTCAAGAACTGTGTTAGGCTAGCACAGTGGGTCTTTATTTCCATGTTAACTTTTGGCAGTAAGCGAAATGTCCTTCGTCCTACCTCTGCCTCTGTCCATCTACTTTGCCAATTTTGTAGCAGACTTGTCAAAGTTGTTCGCTTAATATGAGACCAAGGAAGTTTAGTTGGTCTTTCTAATATATCCGTGCAGTTGGCTGCCTGCTTGGCCAGTAGGTCAGCGGCTTCATTGCCTTGAATCCCTGTGTGAGCGGGAACCCATTTTAAAGTGGGTCTTTGCGAAATAGGCATTGTCAGAAGCTGTTTCTGAATTCTGTATACCAATGGACTCCGGCTGTTTTGACTTGCGATAGCCGCCAGACTTGATGCCGAATCACTGAGTATGGAGAATTTCTCCTGTTGACATGTGTTCGCATATCTAATTGCAGCACTGATAGCTAGAAGCTCTGCTTGGTATACCGAGTTGTTCGAGCCTAATTTCCTTTTCCACTCGAATGTTACAACTCCATTTTATAGTCTACAGAAGGCGCTTCCCGTGCCGTTCTCACTTTTGGAGCCATCTGTGAAAAGGTTATTACTGTACCTCTGAATTGGTTGGTCGTTTAATAGATCCTTCTTGCTGTAGAAGATCTGCATCATATGGAGGAATGAAAGAATCGTCCACTATGATTTTATAATTTGCAAGAGTAGCGAAGTTTACAGTAGTATTGGCTGCTGCCTTGTTGTAAAAATTCATATTAAGCGTTCCTTTATCATATCAGTTTTCAAATCATGGTGAAAACTTTCGTATCATATTAATTAAGGGCCACCAGTGATAATCTCCAACAATTTATTCTGGAGCACCTCCAAATTTTGTTCACTTTCTCCCGCACTTGTCCATATTGTTGACGAATAAGTAAGAATCCTTGTAAAGACGCATCTTACGAGTAAGACTGAGTCCTGAATCGCCTGAAAGCACTCTATTACTCGGATACTCCAGTTATTATACAGTTATCAGCTCCATTAGGTAGCACTTTCCTGTAACCTCAGATAGTCCCAATGTAGGGAGTGAAAAAAGCGATTAATCCTTAATTGCACTCTCAACGAGTGATTCGTGAAATAAAAAACAGAGATTAGTCATTTTATCCCCTGTCGAAACTCTTGGCAATGTCCGGAAGGGATTTGTCAGTGAATCACTTATCCAATATACTGTGTAATTCAGCAATTTGGTTACAAACATTCAAGAGAGATCGAGTACACTTAAACGATGGAAAATTACGTAGAAATGCACTGTCGGAAAAGCTTTCCTGGCGTGGTAGTGACGATACAAATACAATAAATGAAGGACAAGAACAGGATGAGGAAACATGTTTATTATGCTTGGTACAGCAAAAAACAAAAAATGAAAAAAAAAATCGTCAACAATTGTCGTCAAAGAAAGAATTAAGTTTTATGACATCGAAATTTCGGCCATGAACCTAGATACGGGCTTCACACCTCAGGTGTGTGGAATATCTGATGCTCTGGAAACTACTTCCCCAGCAGCTGCTACGATGCGTGCAAAACGTTCCTGAGCAGTGTTAACAGGGTCATACATAAGTGTCTTTACGTACCCCCCCCAAGAGAAAATAGTCAATGCAAGTGAGGTGTAGCGATCTTGCTGGCCAATGCAACGGACCACCCCTGCTGATCCACTGTTAAGGATAATTTGTGTAGACATACATGAAGGCTGTTAATGTATGCAAAAATTAAGCATTTCCAACATTTTAGCTGCACTGAGCATAATAAATATCTTTTCTCACCCTGTTCAGTAGGCGCTCAATCCCGGAACGGATTCTATTGTTTGCTGGAGGAGTCCAAGATTTGTAGGGATGAGCTAAGAGGAGAAAGGAAAAGGGATTTTGAGTATAGGGAATTTCAGTCGTTCCGGGATTGAGCGCCTACTATGAAACTAGCTCCTACTTTGTGAGCGTAGCTAGCGTTTCGTTAGTAAGTATATTATTTAATATTCTTATTGATTGTCTGCCCCCCTTTTTTACAGTTACAATTTTCAACAATACCTTAAGTAAATAAAAACTTTACAGTTACGTATTGTAACTTCATGTAATACTCTGTTACTTTACCGTAATAAGAGTTCTGATAAATATTAAATTTCGTTGGAATAAACAAAATTATGTAATTTCGCCAAAACGTTATGCCTTTAAGCAAATTTTAAATAAACATACAATTTTACATTGCAAACACGTATTTCTCTACGAAATATTTTTTTTTGTTTCATAAATTGATAAAAATTAATCTGTCCTTAAACAAAATGTTCAATAAAACATGGAGGATAAAAATAAGCAGTGAAACTCCTTCCACGGTTCCGGAATAAGTCAGTGAGCATATCCATTTTTTCCCTAGTACCCATTGAAAGCCATTCCACTATCTAATTATTTCCGTTGGAAACAATACCGGAACCTTTCCTTTCTATTCCTCTCACCTGCGTATATTGAGCTCGCCCAGCTAACAATAGCAGTCATTCCAAGATTGACGGTCTAGTCACCCTGTTCTTGTCCATCCTTTCTTGCGTTTCGTGTCATCACTACCGCGCCAGGAAAGGGTTTTCGACCATACATTTGCTGTATAATTTTCCATCCTCGAGGTATACTCTATCCTTCCTTAACATTTGCAAAAAATTGACGAAACACCCTATATATATACTAGCAGCAGTCGTGTTGTAAGCAAAATTCCGTAAATCAAATGCACTAATTTAGTAGAAAATGTAATGTACTGTTCACGTAACACAAAAATATTTATGTAATTTTTTTACTTCCTTACTGCTGGATAAATTCGGTTCCAAGAAACTTTCCCTCCTTAAAGTAATCCACTGTATCAACTATTTTCTACAGTTCTCCTTCCCTGGATGTATGAATTTCCATTTACCGGTTTTTAATATTTTCCCATCAAATTTAATTTGCATAATCAAGATTTCTAATTGTTTAATATATATTAATAATCTGATAACGAATTTTTTTAGGTTATCATGACTTCAAAATTGGCACATTTGATGAGTTAATTGCTACAGTTCTATGCATGGGTTTGGCGACGAATGATATAGAAGCTTACCTAGTGAGTGGTGCCATTATAATCTTAGACTGCAAAAATGTTCCTCTTGAGATATTAAAGACAACACTGAACCCGTATCGAGTCTACTTTATTGTTGAAGTTATGGTAAGTTTATATTGAAAAAATACGAATTTATCAACTTCTTTATGACTTTAGAATGTATTTAAAATATTTTAAGTGGATTTAATAAACTAGTGGAAATACAGACAATTTAATATTTTAGTGAAAACAAATTTTGAAATTTATAATAAATAAAGTAACAGCCCATTAAGATAGAGATCTGACAAGATCTTCTAATCTGAAATTTACCATTTTCCTGGAAAAATATCTATCTGATTCTACTCGCAATGGTTTGGTTTGGTTTAGTTTACTAGATTACAGCAAAGCACTCGAGGGCTATCTGCCTTAAGGGAGGGATGCCTTCGTGGAGGACTTTTTAAGGGAAACTGGCTCGTATACACGTCACACATGGGGAAAACCACGAAAACACCCATGCAGCCAGCCCGTTCGCGGAATTCGAACTTCGGACCGAACTACCAGTGTTCAGCGACGTTAGCGCTCGGCCGTTGGTGGGCCATCTACTCACAATGAAACACATGTAATAACAAATTAACTCAGACAGGCAGATAATCAATTATGAAAAATTATTAAATGAGTTTGGTATTTGGTGCAGTTTTAAGAATTAAAACGTAGACACGCTGATCGGTAAATGCAACAACGTGTAGAGTTGTGACCACGGCTAGCTGTAAAATTGCTAAACAAAACTGGTAAAATTTAAACCAGACAAACTTTAACATTTAACAAAAAGAATTTAATTAAACACAAACACTACATAAAGAAATTTACATGACAAAACTAACAAGAAGTAACATAAAGAAATATTACTCAAAAGGAGATGAAAAGTTCATGATCATAGTCCTCTGCCGAAACTCAAACTAAGTTAGTTCGAGCGTAGATGTTTTGAATAGCGTCCGATAAGGTGCCACTGCAGTACAAGAGGCTGTTTGCTAGCGTTCGTTATAGACTCCCCCTCGGGCTCTGACTACGTCCCGGCAGAGTCCGTGTTCGATAGTTCAATTTTGCGAGGTCTGCCTCTTTTCCTTATGGGAGTCACAGGACCTAGGTCTTTCGATGGAGACAGTTTATATGGTCTCATCATATTGGTATGATAAGTACTAGCAGTAACTAAGGAGTAGCAGGATCTGCAATGTCATATGTTGTGGGAGATCTATTAGTAACCACTAGATACGGACCTTCTCGTTTAGGCATAAATTTTTTACTTTTCTTGTGTATGGATTTACTGATTGGATGTATAGTTATCCATACTTTGTCACCAGGCTGATAGTAAGTTTGTCTACGTCTTTTATCAAAGTATTCCTTTCTTTTGTCTTGTTTTTGTTCGACACGCTCTCTGATTTGAGGTGTTAAACGGACGAATTCTTTCAGATACGGCGTAATTTCAGCAACAAAGTTGTCGTTTTCAATAAGTGCTCTTAAATCGTGATTAACGACATCCGTCGTCCTAAGTTCTCTTCCGAACTGCAAATAAGCAGCGGTATGACCTGTAGTGTCACATATTGCTGTATTCATGGCAAAACGAATCATGGGCAGTTTTTCTTCCCAAGTATCATGAGCATCACCGACTAGTATAGCTAGTTTGGGTTTTAAATCTCTGTTCTTTCGTTCGGAGGGATTCGCTTGAGGGTGATAAACAGGAATAAGTTCTTGTTTAATACCAAGGAAGTTACAGGTTTGCTGCATTACCGCACTAACAAATTGTGTGCCATTATCACTAATCAACCTTCTGGGTAAACCATAACGTAAAAAAACTTCTTCAATTAAGATTTTTGCACAATTTTTCGCAGTGGCTTCTTCCAAGGCGAAGAGCTCTATCCATTTTGTACTGGTGTCTTCAATAAGAAAAATCCATTTTTTCCCAGTTGGAGTTTCTGGAAGTGGGCCAAAAAGGTCTATAGCAAGTGTTTCAAACCTTTGTGCATACACAGGTGTTCGAAGTAATCCAGCAGGTTTCTGGTTATTTGGTTTATACCGATTGCACTCAGCACAATTTTTCACGTATTCTGAGATATACTTTCTCATACCAGGAAAGTAATACCTGGAGGCAATCTTATGGTACGTGCCTTCAGCTCCACAATGTCCTGCAGTGGGGAATCGTGATACTGCTGTAGGACTCGTTCTCGCTCTTGACAAGGGACAACTAACTGAGCCTCTTCAGAGTCTGTGTCGGAAGAGTAACGATACAAAACTCCTTGATTCATGAGATATCCTCTACTAGTCCAATTTACATAATTTTCATCTTTTTTGCCACTCTCAAAACAATCTATAATCTTCCTTACATCTTCATCTTTCATTTGTTCCTCACGAATGTCTTTAGATTTCCGGGATGGTAAATCTATAGCAACAGCATTTAAATCACAAACAAAGTCATTATTTGCATAAGATGGTCTAGAAAGAAGATCTGCTATAACATTGGATTTGCCTGGAGTGTAGACAATTTTTGGATGATATGACTGGATTTGAAGGGCCCATCGAGCCAAACGACCAGATGGTGATTTAATACTCATTAGCCATTTAAGAGGTTGGTGGTCAGATGCAATTATTATTTCTTGGTTTTCTATATAACCGCGGAACTTCTCAAGAGCCCAAACTACTGCAAGAGCTTACAATCGACTTGCATACTCAATCACACGTTCCTCTGGGCCTTCTCCTTGGATAAGGACTGCTCCTAAAGCATAATTACTGGCATCTGTCCTAATGATGAACGGTTTATTTCCGTCAGGTTGAGATAACACAGGCGGTGAAATCAACCTTTTTTTCAACTCTTCAAATGCTTTTTGTTCGGTTTCACCCCATGTCCACTGTTTATTTTTTTTGGTTAAGTCACTAAGGGGTCTAGCAACTTCTGAAAACTTAGGGACATATCTTCGGAACCAGGAACACGTCTGTAGAAAAGACTGAACTTCCTTTACGCATGTTGGTTTAGGAATTTTCTGAATGGAAGATACTTTCTCGGCATCTACCTCTACACCATCTTCTGTAATCCAATGACCTAAATACTTTACTCTGTCACAAGCAAAATGGCATTTGCTCCTGTTAGCATTTAGTTTAAACACAGAAAATCTTTCAAACACTTTCCTCAAATCTGATAAATGTTTATCAAAGGTTTCTGATAACACTATGATATCGTCGAGATATGACAAGGCAAAAACATCTTTTAACCCTGATCTAAATTTATCAATAAGTCGTTGAAAAGTTGCAGGCGCGTTCCGCAACCCAAATGGCATTCGCAAAAACTTGAAAGTACCAAATGGACAAACACAAAGGCAGTTTTCTCTTGATCTGCTTCATGAACTTTAACTTGATGATAACCTGCTCTTAGGTCAATGGTAGACATGTATTTCGTTGATTTTGGCTTCAGTTAGCAAATCATCCATTCTTGGTAATGGATAGGTATCTGGAACGGTTTGGGAGTTTAATTTTCGATAATCTATACACAGTCTGATGGAACCATTAGGTTTAGGGACCAACACAACAGGACTCGCATAGGGTGATTCGCATTCCTCAATGATACCCTGAGCTAGTAAGGAATCTAGCTCCTTTTTTAACAACTCTTTCTTCGCGGGTGTCATTCTATATGGTGGTTCGGCAACAGGTAAATTATTTCCGGTCTGGATTCTGTGCTCAATATAAGGAGTAGGCTCTCCCCTGGCTGAAAGCTAGTTTTATATTCTTCTAACAATGAATTTAATTTCTTCCGTTGTTCTCTCGTCAAATGTTTTCCTTCATCATCTCTCAACTTCACGGATTCGGTTGCTTCTGGTATTGCAACAGGAGTGTCAGCAGACGTTTTTGTTTCTGGAGATGTTACTTTCAGAGATGTTAGTACGTTTGGAGTCTCTTTAGTTTCAGATGGTTCTTTGTAAAAGGGATACTGCTTCTGTGGATTTTCACTAAAATACCAAGTGCCATTCTGGATGTTGAGCACTATTCCCGCAGCCTGTAGAAAATCAGTTCCAAGTAACGTCCTGTTACCTTTTGCTTTTGACAAAGCAATAAATTTCATACGGACTATCTTTCCTTCAACATTAAGATTTACCACTGTAGTCAAAGCTTGAACATTTCTTTCCTTGCCATCAGCTAGTACCATCGTAATATTTGTTGTTTTAAATCTAAATCCTCGATCTCGTAACAACTTATAAAATCTTTCTCCTGCAATAGAATTCGATGCTCCTGTATCAGCGCAAAAAGCTGCTTTTTCACCACAAACAGTTAAAAAAATGGAACTGGACAGTAGATCGGATGATTCAACTGCATACAATTTTACACAATTGACGACAGTTTTAACTTCTTCTTTTAACTTATTACACTTAGGGCACTTTGACTGTATGAAACCGGGATATCCACAACCATAGCAATGAATAGAAGTTTTCCTTTCTTGTCTAGAATTAGTAAATTTTGAATTGTCAACGTCTGTATTTTTAATCTGGTTAACGTTTTTAGGATTACTAGTTTTAGATTTTCCTTCTGGAACAAATTTAATATTTTCTTTACAATATGGTTTCTTTGCATTGGAAGATCAATTTTTCTTCATGCAAAGTCTTACATTTTCATAATAATCGAGCTTTTCTGCGAGCTCCAACGGATTGTTCATTTCTGATAAACTGTCCACAAAATGTTCTCTTACCTCGGAAGGTGTTCTTTTCTTTATCTGATCTGCAATGATCAAGTTTTGTAGCTACTCGAAACTAGAGATATTCAATTCTTTAATCCATCCTTCAAAATAAGATTTCAATTCAAAAGCAAAGTCCTTCCATGTAATTTCTGCAGATTTTCTATGCTGAGAAAACATTTGTCGAAACCTATCAGCTGTGAGTCTATATCGCTTCAAAAGCATAGTTTGCATAATCTTTAGAATCCTCTTCGTTTTCTCTAACAACTAATTGATTTATTTCAGATGGTAATGATCCAATCAAGTATGGGATCCAATCAGTTTCAGGTATATTTACGAACTACAATTGACGCTCAAACATGGTCAGATAAAGTCCTATCTCATCTTCCTTTGGGTTAAACTTTGGAAGAATGCG